ATAAAGTTCACCAGCCATTGTGAGCCACATGCTGTAGCAGAGGTGAGATTTTTATCAAGATAAATAGTATTGTTGTCAGCAAACAATGCCACCTTAGATGTGATAATATCTGGAAGATCGTTAATGTAAATTAAAAAGAGTATAGGGCCAAGGATTGAACCTTGAAGAACCTCTGAAGTTACAGGATATGAAGAAGATATATATATATATATATATATATATATATATATACATATATATATATATATATATATATATATATATATATATATATATATATATATATATATATATATATATATATATATATATATATATATATATATATATATAACTAACTTAAAATTTTACTAACTACATCTTTTGAAAGGAAATTCTTAAATGTTCTTTTTTTCTTGCTGAATTGACTAGGTACCTATTTTGAGTATTGAGAAGTATTAAAAAAATTAATTTATAAAGATAAAAGGCCTAGATAGGAAATATAACTTCTAAGATGGTTATTACAAGAAAAATTATTACTTACATTAATCTTTGTAAAACTTTAAGATTTATTATTGACTTCATATACTTTCTTTAACTTTTTTTTGGGAAAAGCAAAATTTTGAATCACAGACTTTCAAATTTTGGAGGAGCTGAATGAATTAAAGAAGTTGTTAATAATAAAAATTCATTAGGCATATTACATAAAATAAACTATATTAATTAACCATTACATAAAATGAAATATAGCCAAAACCATTGTTTTATTTTTTTAAAACCAAAGGCAAAATAATACTTTAGGGTTAAATACATTTCATCAAATTAAATTTCTTTAATTTAAAACAAAATTAAATACAAAAACTACAAACACATCAGTTCTAGATTCCTAAATGCATATTTAAATAAATGCAATATGAGTTTTTGAAATACAAAACAAAAATGTAACATAATATTACCAAATACAAACATGTATTTGACGAAAACATATATCAACTGACACTTGATGTAGTTGACGCTCCTAAAAATAAAATCTTAATTAACAAGTAAATAAAATTTATGGATAAAGTAAAAAATATTCTTACAAGTGTTTTTTTTTAGCCTTAGCATTTTTTTTTTAAATTTTTCTGTTCAACTTTAAATTGTATCTAATTGATGTTTGACACTATCTATTTCTAAATTTTAACTAATACTACAAATTCTACTAATTTTAACTAATAATAACTAATAATTCTAAATTTTAACTAATTCTAATAATTTTTAATTATTTTATTTATTGACATATATTTTGTATTTTTACTATTAAAACTGACGCTATAAGTAAGAATTTTAAGGAGACATTTTTCTATTATTTAAAAAGATTTGGTCACGAAAGTCAATTTTTTGAAAGAAAAAATAACAGAATTAAGGAGAAAATAACTACATTGAAAACAGAATCTTATTTTTTTCAATAAATTTTAAATAAAAACAGAAAAATTATTATAAGTTACCATATTACTTACATATATATATATATATATATATATATATATATATATATATATATATATATATATATATATATATATATATATATATATATATATATAACCTTTGGAATTAGGGTCGGCATGCAGCAATGCCAACCTAAAAGTGTTTGAGGTCGACAAATAATGCTGACCTTGTTTCTATGTTTAATAGTAAGTCTTTTTAATCACTTTTTTTTGCTTTTTTGATTGATGTCGACAAATTATTGTCAACCTTTTTTTTCTTAATTCCAAGGGTTGTGTATATATATATATATATATATATATATATATATATATATATATATATATATATATATATATATATATATATATATATATATATATATATATATATATATATATATATATATATATATATATATATATATATATACAATAGAAATATAGGTTTGCAATCAATCAAAGGACTATATAATTTCTTTAATAATAAGTATAATCCATTTACTTTAATAAAATTTCCTAGATGATAAAAAAAAAGGAGAAATTAAGGAGTGTTTCTCATCGGTTACTTAGTAAATTGCGAATAGCATTCCAACACGTGATATAGTGGTTATTCATATGTTAATACAGTTGTATAAGAGACAGGTGGGTAGAAAATTTCCTTTAGAGTAAAGGATATTTTTTACCCTCCTGTCTCTTATATAACTGTTATGACTGGTTTAATTTTTTCAATTAGACTTTTTTTTTTTTTATTTTACTTCACCTCCTCAAGGCCGAGAAGGCCACTACAAACGAGGAGGCTACTTATTTTGTGGCTATAACCCTCTCTCAACTCTATAACTCCGAAACACGAACCTTGACGAACAAGGCCGCTGCGCGGAGAAACGAGTTGAGCGCGGTAATACCAGGGACGTGGTGGGGATCGAACTCGGAACCACTCGTTTATGAAGCGAGCGCTCTACCACTACACCACTACCGCATAAACTTATTTTTTAGTCAAAACTTTTGAACTTCACTAATAACTAATTACTAAAGTTAAGTAATTGGTTTTTAGCGAAGTTCCGAAACTTGATATTGTAATATTTCAAAAAGTTCATTAACTAATGTACTGGTCCAATTATTTCGAACAGAACAATCTGAAAGTTGTTAATTAAAGATATTGAATTATATTGAATTATCAGCATAAACTCTCTGTATTATTACAAGGTTTTCCTTTTGAAAAATATGACTATGCATGAGATTCTGCGATGTCTTAGTCTTTCAAACAGTCAGAACTTGGTTCTTGATATAGTATATCAATTATTATGCTAGAAATACTATATCAAGTGTCAAGTATATTTTTAATGTATATATATACATATATATATATATATATATATATATATATATATATATATATATATATATATATATATATATATATATATATATATATATATATATATATATATTTATATATATATATATATATATATATATATATATATATATATATATATATATATATATATATATATATATATATATATATATATATATATATATATATATATATATATATATATATATATATATATATATATATATATATATATATATATTTATATATATATATATATATATATATATATATATATATATATATATATATATATATATATATATATATATATATATATATATATATATATATATATATATATATATATATATATATATATAGTATATCATATACCCAGTTTTTAACTATTTATTTCAATATCTGTATCAATTTTAATATATGTATCAATATTAATACGATTCTCAAGTAATTAAATGTTTAAAAATATATATAAATTAGCAAGAACTTATCTATAAGTCACATTTAATAAGTTGCTTTTAAAAATCTCCTTGAATCTTTGGGAAATTCCAAACCTTGATTTGGCAATATTTCAAGAAGATCATTAACTAATGTACTGGTTCCATTATAAAATAGCATAATGTTGTCGAGTAAAGACATTGAATTCAAAGAATTATCAGGAAAATTGTTCCATGTATCATTAACAGGTTTTCCTATTGAAAAATTTGATTCTGCATGAGATGTCTAAATCTTTGCAATTGTTAGAACTTGGTTCTTGATATAGCAATACTATACTAATAGTATATCAAGTATATATATACATAGTATAGCATATATTCAGTTTTAAACCGTTTCTTTCATTATCTGTAAAAATTTCATTACCTGTATCAATATTACCACAATTTTCAATTGATAACAAAAACAAAAATTAGATGGAACGTGTCTATTAGTTGTTGTAAAAAGACTTCTTTTGTAATTGAAAAAACACTTTATTAAAAATGCGTTACTTAAACATTTTGAGAAGTTTTAGCGCTTGCGTGATTTAACTGGTTTTTTTTTTATTTAATAAAGCATTCTGGATATTTTTTGGACGAAAAAATTATTGGACGCGAAAAAGACGTTCAAAAGACCTTTAGAATTTTAATGTGATGGACGGACGCGATTTGAACGTCCTAAGGACGTCTTTTTTACGTCCTGTGCCCACTGGGTCACATAGCTTAATAGTTTTGTTAAGTGTTAAATCTTCCATATTGACAATAGTTTGATACTTTTTCAGTATCCTCTTAAACGTTGTCATAATAAAACCTTTGTATTCTACTAGATCATTTGCTTTTTCATAAATAAAACAATCAAAAGTTATCTTGGAGTATGTAGTATGGCAAGCAACCGTCACTTTTTTTTTATTTTTCAAGAATAACAGCAAAATACTTTCCTTTTTTTATTCATTCTATATTTTTATTTTGAATTTTACTGCCTATTACATTTATAATTTTATTTTGGATTGTTTTACTTAGATAATGTTCGTTAGTTGTTTTACTGACAATTTGCTGTAGATGGTCCTGCATAATTGGACTAAATTTTCCAAATAACTCTATAATACCTATAAATTTTCTATTTCTTGCATCATCTAGTTTTTCAATAGATCCTCGAAATGCTATATTGCGCTCAGCTAAAAACTGAACCACAGAAAATAGTCTTTCAAAGATTTTATAACAACGAATTTTTTCTTGATTAAGTAACTTTTGCTGCACTTTATCGATTGTTTGTTCAGCAGACAGTCTTTTTTAAAGATCTGTACATTTTAACATTGCTATCAAATAATTTTCTGGTCGGAAAACTAATCTCCTTAACACTTTCGGAAAACTAACCTCCTGAATACTTTCGGAAAACTAACTTCCTTAATACTTTCGGAAAACTAACCTCCTTAATACTATCGGAAAACTAACCTCCTTAATACAGTATCATTGCTCAACCGCAAGATGAAAACTTTAATTTATTTTTATTTTTCATTTTAGTTTTTTTAGTAACTTTAAATGTTTATTTCATTATATTCAATATGTTTACTTGTAAAAGCAAATTGAAAAAAAATTATTATTAATAAAACTCAATAGACTGGCAAAAGTTTATTAATAATAAATATCTACCTAATATGCGATTTTATATCACATATATTAACCATACACTTTTTTTTATCTATATAAAAAATTACCGCTAACTGCAAGAAAAGTTGTTTTTTTTTTTTTTTTAAAGAAAGTGCTTTTTATTAGAAAATATTTGAATAGGATTATTTTTATTAGATAAATATTTTAATAGTGCCATTTGTTATTTTGCTACCATAGAAACCAGCCCAGAACTGCGTATCTTTTCCAGCATGATAGAAAATAATGTATCGAACTGGTTTCTTAACAGAGAATGTATGCTGAACTGATTTCCATTCACCTGTGGTCCACTGTGGCATAGTATCTTCGTATTTAAACTTATCAACCACTTGAAGCTGATCATCGATTAAATATACTATTAGCTTATAAACTGAGCCACAGTCAAAACGTGCTGAATAATTTTCTGAAATTTTTATTTTAGCTTTGAGCATTGAAAGAATTTTGTAGTAATTACATTCCTCTCTAAGATCAATGACCTGCAGTTTTTTACCCCAATAGTATGTCGTTGCGAATTTACTTAACAATTTTCCTTTTTCGTTTTTGATTAGTTTTGAGCCAGCCTCTTCGTCTTTTTTTTGAATTTCCCATTCATTTACGTTTAGTGAGTTGTCATTCCTTTTGAAATACGCGTCTATTACTTTCTTGACTTCTTTATTATTGCTTAAGTTTTCAACTTTCTCCATAATTACATTTGTTATCCAATGGTTCATTTGATTTTTTCCACAAGAGTTTTTAAGCAGATTTTTTTCGAACTTGTTAAAAAAATAAGTGTTTTACTTTTATTGTTGGATTTTCATAAAATATGCGGAGATTATATTTTACTAGTTTTTTTTCACGCAGACACTTTTCGATCCAGAAATTTTCAGCATCGACTATTGCATGCCATCTTTTGCAAATCATGGTCACGACTTGGCACACTTCTCGACCAGAGAGTATGATGAATATTTTCTCCAGGACTTCGTTGGGTAGAATTTCAATCGGAGACGGTTGTGAATCATCAGGTATTTTATCTTTTTTAAATAAATTTGCCATTGTTTTAAAAAACCATTCAGCCATTTAACCACTCATATATAAAATGTTTATATATAAAACATAACCAATTTATGTATTAGCGATTTTTAAACAAAAAATGTTTATTAACATAGATTTTAAATGAATAATCAAACAGATTTTCAACACGCTCTTACGAAGTAAGCACTCATCTGCATTTCAGCCTATACAAGATGACGACGACAAACAACAAAAACCAATAATAAATTTAATAATAACCAAATAATAAATTTACATTTGAATTCTTGAGTATTAAAGCGTTTTTATTACAAAAACTTTTAACTAAAACAGCTTTAGCGCTTGATATAAATAATGACGCAAGTTATCTGAAACAAAAGCCCTCCGTGGTGATTTTTAGTATTTTGTTTGTATCACCACGGAAGTATTATGGACGGAAGTGCAACGCTTAAAAACATCAGAGACTCCGAATACCGTCACAAAAACCATGCGTGAAATATAAATAATTGAATATTTTTTTTAAAAATGGCGTCTCTCCATTAATTTAAAATTTTAAGTTAACGATGTTTTAAAGGGATACTTCATGCTTATATAAATAAAAAATAGCTTAGAAGTTAGCTCGTATGTTGCTGAATAGTTAGTTCTATAATTTAAATGAAGTGACTGATTTTTTATGAGTAAAAAAATGGTTTAGCTGATGGCTGTTAATTTAAAAGTATATTCCGTCACATACCTAAAAACCATACATATAAGAGTTTCCACTTTTAAAAAGTTTATTTGTTTTTTCAATGTGTAAAATACCTTTTAAAATACAGGCGCTAATTTAGATCTCTACCCTCTATTTTTATTTTTGGTTATGACAGAGAATTTCATCCTGATTCGTATAAAATATAATAAATCGTATAAAAACATAGGTCTGAAAATCAACAGAAAGTGCTCTAATTCGATGTTGAAGTTTAAAAGATTACACTAAAAAACGCTAAAATTCGCCATTAACTAAAAAAAAGTTGTTTTGTAATATCCTTTTAGAAGACGACTTTAAAAAAGCATGGTTTCTATCAACAATTTTAAGCAAAAAAAGTTAAAAAATGCGTACTTATCATTTTCTTATTGATTTCTGGCCCAAACGCTAACCCTGTCCCAAATTATGTACGTTTAATCCCACCAATCCCTATTTGTCAGTCATTTTTCAGTCGATGTATGTACATTCAATTACGCCAATCCCTATTTTTCAGTTGATGCATGTACATTTAATTGTGCCAATCCATTTCATATGTACATTTAATTGCGCCAATCCATTTGTCAGTCGATTTATGCACATTTAAAAAGCAATATCTAAAATTAATTTTTGAAAAAATAATAAAAAATATATTCATAAAAAATTTATTTTAATTTAAATATTTAATTTTGACAACAATAAAAACCGGGTTGCATATTTAAAAAAAGATTTTCTTAACGATCGATTACTAAATGTAAACTTTGATGTAAAAAATAGCGAATACTAGCGTTTTTAGAAGCTGAGATCAGATCCCTATTTTGATTGGACGAAAAATTTGACTAGCGCTAGGTCCGAAAAATTGTTTCTCGTTAGCCGGATTTATTTTTATGGTAAACAGTTTATAATAGAAGTCAAAAGTACGCCTCGTTTTCAAATTTAAAACGGTTGCCGTAATTTTTGAGCAGCGGTATGTTAAATGAAATCGTAGTCTTAAGAAGATACTTTATATATATATATATATATATATATATATATATATATATATATATATATATATATATATATATATATATATATATATATATATATATATATATATATATATATATATATATACAGTAAGACTTAAAAAAAAAAAAAAAAGGTCCTTTAAAATTTTTGGGGGTTCTTAAATTTGCGGGGCCAGGGCTAAGCCCCCCTAGCCCCCCTTGATTCGACACTGTATATATATGTGTGTATGCAAACATATGTATATGTAACATACCAGTATTTCTAAAGCCTTTGGTAGAAAAAGATGTACCAAACCGAATTGTATACTCAAGTTCATGGTTTTTAATAACACTGTGTGCTTCTTCTAAACTCAATGCAGTTTTAAAAAGCGCCATAACCAACAAATCCAATAAGTGATACAATTGCAATTTTTTAATAGAAGTTAATAAACTCCTTTTATAACTCCGTTTGTAATTTACAATGTAAACTTATAAACTACACTTTAAATTGGTTCCAAGGTTCCCTATAATAATAATCACATTGTACATTATAATATATACAAATAAGAATAGATAATAACAAAGCGTATAAAATAAAATTCTTTAATTCATATTCATAATGATGGTAAAATAAATATTGCAGTAATATTGTAACATTTACAAAAAGTATCTTCTTATGACTACGATTTCATTTAACATACCGCTGCTCTATAATTACGGCAACCGTTTTAAATTTGAAAACGAGGCGTACTTTTGACTTCTATTATATATTGTTTACCTGGTAAATCAGTCGACCTTAAGAACGAAGTTACTTTTTTTTTGGTTGATTCAAAAGTAGGTTTTGCGTTTTAATAAAAACTTCGCATGCGCAATAGTTCCCGAAGATATTCAAGGTCTGTGTTTTCTTCAAAATCACAAACCTACTTTTGGATCATCCAAAAGATATTTAACCATACTATGCATGGTGTTATAAATATATATCTTTTTTTGAATAAAATTTTTAATCAGGTATTTATTTTTTATTAGCTTTCTATTTTAATAACGGATTTCTATTTTTCAAAATCTAAGAGTTCTATTATAACTCTTTATTACCAATAAATAGCTTGAATATATTTAATGCATAGGGGAAAGCACGTAGGATTCGTTCACTTTTTACACTAATTCGTATAAAAGCAAAAATAATTGCTATTTTAAAATAATATTAACGCTGCTGAGTAACCTAAATATCTGGCTTTAATAACATTGTAGTTTAGATTTAAAAAAAGCTAACTAGACGGTGCTATGATGACTTTTGCAAAAAAATGGAGATTGTACGAATGCACCCAAAACGCGGGGTAGCTTCGTTCAGTTCTTCGTTTTGTACTTTATTACAAAGTTAAACATGTATTTATTGAAAATAAACTTTTATTAAGATTAAAATTACAAAAAAATAAATATTAAACAAAATAAAAATAAAATTATTTATCCCATCTGCAGAGAATACATATTTTCTCAAAAGTTTTTCTAGGTTCTCATAGAAATTAATTATGGCTGTCTGTTATATGCGAAAGAACAGGCTGAGCGAGTTTTTTCATACGTTTTTGCAGTACGAATCCTCCCCACTTATTACTGTAGGAATGTGCCCCAACCATAACAACTAACATATAAATTCAAAGTAAAAATAGCGGATAGGTTATAAGAAAATTATTGTTTAAATATTAATCTAAGACACTTACACAAAAAGCATAATAAACTATTTCATTAATTGGGTCAAATTATTAGAAATAAATGTTTTCAAAGATTTATTGTAATATTAGTTTAGCATGGCAAAAACACGTATCGACTTGTTACAATAACGATTACGATGGCACTGCAACAGCGCTAAGCTGTGTCTTTGTGCATGAGTGGTCTTCACACACACATAAATGTAAATATATATATATATATATATATATATATATATATATATATATATATATATATATATATATATATATATATATATATATATATACATATATATATATATATATATATATATATATATATATATATATATATATATATATATATATATATATATATATATATATATATATATATATATATATATATATATACATATATATTAGGGTGGTCCAAAATTATAAATTATTGAAATTCATTTCTCCACAAGGCTGCCTTTGTTCCTATTAATATTTGCAATATTGTAGCCAAATTTGAAGCAAATCGGATAATATTTAGGGGTTGCTATAAATTTTGACTTTTTGACCACAATGATAAAAAAATCAAAAAATTTAAGTTTTCACTATAAATATAATATCGAATTTAAAAATTAATGCCACTAACAATTTAAATCAGGTAAATAGAATGCCTGTAGAGTATCTAATGAATATAGATCATCAATTGATCAATTTTTATTAAAGTATATCAACGTTTCGTAACTTTCGTAATTTTTAAACAAAAAACTGTAATATCAAGAATATTGTGAATATGTTGAAAAATGTATGTTTATTAATCAACGATTTCGTCATCTTTCGCCAACATGGCTGCCTTGGATGAAGTAGGGTATAGCTGGCGGTGACGTTGAACAAAACGAAGTAGGAACTGCTTTTGTTCTTCATCCTTTGTAATCGATTCGTTGTACTGTCCAATTAATGCAATTCCACGTTCTGCGCTGTCATTAACAACTTTCATTCTTTGGACTCTCTCTGCCAACTTCTGATATGATTCATCGTCCTCCCAATATTTAGGATCTTTTGAAATAAAGTTTCTGGCCTCCTCTCTCCCTGTACTGCTCAACAACTCGAATAAACTATAGGTTCTCATAGTCACGAATGTCTCTAGTTTGTTGAAGTCGGTATTCTTGGAATCTACTCTCTTCAGTGCTAGAGTTGTCTTGGGCAGTTGGAGGTTAACCACCATGGCCCTCTTCACATCCAGATCAACACGACTATCAAAAAATGCCAGACCTATAAGATGTTCCGAGAAGAACCAAAGGTGTCGAGAAAATGCAGTAAAAGCTGCATCGGCGATTGTGCGGTTTGGATACTTTTGGAACTGTTTCAGCATTTGAGCATCATTAAACGGAGCATTTGCAGCCAGTGGAGCTTCGTGCCAAAAACGTCCGTAAATTAATGCCACAAATAATGCAAGCTCTACTAGACCTTTCTTCTCTCGAACAGTCAGAGTGAGCTGATCTTGAAATAGTACCATTTTCAGAGCGTAGATGGCCTTTGACATCCATCGAGCATGATGCATCGCTACTGGAGCTCGAAATTTTATCTCAACACCAACAGAGCCTCCCCCTAGAAAGACCAGGCATAACCGAAGTAGTTCAAGATAATCTTCTCTAGGTTGTTTTTCGTCGATGGCTCTGGTGTAGAATGCTACCATTTCCTTTCGAAGGATTTCCATATCTCCGATGAAGAGCTCATCTTTAGCTGGAGAGAATCTCGCTTGCTGAATATATGGCCACTTCTTCTGAAACCGTTTGAACAAGCCAACCTCAGGTCCCCCTGTTCCACCAAAGAGAGCTGTAAAGACATTGCTCTGAATGACCTCCAGAACATGGTGGCGGCAACCAATATTTACAAGATCACGACCAACTGCTTTCTCGATGAGAACACAACCTCCTTTGTGGATACCTGTGTTGGATG